ATTAATTCTTGTAGACGATAGTGATTCGCAACTTTTTCATCTTGTTGAGGCATTGCATAATAATGACATTCAAACAAATCCTCTTGCATTTGCTGGTAAACTACTAGTCGAGATGGGTGATTTTGATCGTGCTGAACAATTTTATATTCAAATACTTCTCGATCCATCAGTTCTCAATCAACCGCGTCGATGCTGTCGTATACAAACTGCTCTCGGCTCTGTCTTTACACTGAAAAACGAATTTAATAAAGCACTTGAACATTATCAACAAGCTCTGAAAGCTAGTTTGAGCTTTTTGCCTCCAGATCATCCTGATCTGATACCAATCCATAGTGCCATTGCAGATTGTTATTATGAGACTGGCAATTATTTATTAGCCTTGCAAAGCTATGAACGAGCCGCTCAACTTATACAACCTAATATGCAATCGATTGACCAACAAACTCTCAATGATTTAAATAATCATATTGTTAATATACGAAAACTTCTCAATAGCAGTGCTTGACATGATACTATGATTTTATGTGTAATTTCTAAAATAATTAATCAGATTGTAGAATTAAGTTTGTTTTTGGTTCAATAATATACAAAATCTGCTTCGGTGTCTGTTGAATATATTTCCATGTACATTTTTAACTCGTTCGCTTACATATGAGAATTTTCAAAAAAAGTATTTTTCTGTTCGACTAAAACTTCAACAGTTGAATGAGCTTTTTTTATTCTCCATTGATATTAGCATAAGGATTAGAAGCCTATATTTGGAACTCGCATTTATTTTCGAAGAAAATAATGAGTGTAAGTTTATGTTAAGATCGGTCCCCACTACTCATATTTCAATAGCTGAAATTCTCTCTTCGAGTTTTCAAAATAAGTTGAGGTTTAAGATGTCAATAACAATCAGAATCAATAGGTCGGTTTGCCATAGCTGTCATACAATCAGCGAAAAGATAAAATTGAACTAAATAATAAGTTTAATTTCAGTCTAAGCAATATTAGTGATTTTGAATTGATCAAGATATATCATTGTCTGTCGACAACAGTCCTAAGTGTGAGCCAAATTAATGATAAGAAAAATCATAAAGTTAAAACACGAGAAATAAAATATGAAAAGAAAAGTTGTGCGCAGCTAGCAGCAATGAAAACAAAATATTAGAGCGCCATAGAAAAGATCTAAAAAATTCTTTTAGAAATACTGATATTTGATGGATTATTATTCTACACTTTGATTCTTGCACAGAACAAGTAGATTTTCCCCTTTATATAGCTTTTTAGTTAAATGAGATTGGAGAGCATACATAAGTTCTGCATTTCAGCACTGAATATGCTGCGCTAACAATCTTTTTTCCATAATTTTAGATGGTAAATTAGTCACGTATGATTTTTAAGTTAGTAAAATCCAACTAACTAACATTCGTGTAATAACAAACCTCAAGATTTCTTAACCGATTTCAACAACATACAGGCATCAGTTATAAGAAACAAAATTTTCAGATGTAAAAGTCAGCTAAATCTATTTAAACATTTATTATATACAGTTGGTCAAAAAGGGGGGTGTGGCTAAAAAGAAAGAGTACACACCCACATTCACACCCATACCCCCGATTTTAAACAAAATGGTCCTTTGTTATTGGTAGCCCATGTGAACTTGGTCTTCATTATACAGTTATTTCTTGAAAATATTTTGGGCCGAAAAGTGGTCGTGTCGCCATTCATCCGATTCGTAGCTTTTACATGAACAGATAGCAACTTCAACCTTGTAAGCATTAATGCAAGACGGTGTAAGTGTTGGGAAGAGAATGATACCCAACGATACCGACACCCACACTCTATTAGCTAAAAAAAACGTTTTGTATCAAAATATGTTCTTTTGAATAGAAAAAAAACTTTTAGCAAAAATATTTTTTGCTAATAAACAGTTGTTGATTTGAAAAAAGTTTAACTGAACATTTCAAAAACTTAATTACAGTTTTAGATTCTACCAATTCGAAAATTGTTATTGATTTTTATAAATAACGAGAACCTTTCTCTCAATTCTGGATAACGAAAATTGTTCACGATCAATCAGAGCCTGAAGTGTACACTACTAGAAAAAAGACTGCATAGAGGATCTCATAGTAGGCAAAATTGTCGATTATTTGTCCTTGCGACGATTTATCCATGCAACATTTTGTCCCTGCAACGAATTGCCCATGTGATGATGTGTCCGTGCGACGAATTGTCCACGACGTTTTGTCCGCGACATTTTGTCCTGCAACGATTTGTCCTAGCGCCAATAGGCGTGTACCGGAGAAATTTGTTTTTGTGGTGGATAATTTGTCGTCATTGTTATTGTCATCAGAATATCCATCTTCTTCATGAATACTATCGTCTTCTAATGACAAGTAACGCTCGTCGCTTCGACTCACTTGGCCCTCGGTTGAAGAGTTAAATTTATTTACATATCATTTTATTTTATTCCCCTGAGATAAGTAATGGTAACATCAGATGTAACTGAGTATACGTGTCACAATACTATGATCTTAAGTTGTAATAGTACAGTTAGTTTACAATTTTAATTATTCTCAGAATTAGAATCCCTATTTTTCTCCATTGCTTATAGACCTAAGCCTTTTCAAAAATAGTGCCGTGGAATTCTCTCCTCTGCAGCACAATAGTTAGAAAAATGTATTTACTTGTTTCATGGCTAATAATATGAGCAAAGACTAATCTTTTAATGAAAATTTATCAAGAAAAAAAAAGTACACTCATCTGCGTCATATTACTATCTTGTGAGTCAAATTTATACACTGTTAAATAATCGAGATTATTTATATTAAAAGTTCTATAAGCAATTACATGACACAAATATATTTTATTTGCATTGCAACTATAACAAACAGAAAAGAGACATCTATATCTGATAAATATCATATCGAACTACAATCAAAACAAAGAAAAACAACGCTAATATATACAAGCCATTAATATAGTCTTTAAAACGATGAAACTTATTTCTTTGTATTTATAATCACCTCCAACATTAACTAATAGCCGCAATTTATCACGGAGGATGGATATTAGTCTAGACGCCGAAGAAGATCTAGTGCTAGATTTGGCGGGTTACGATCTCTATCGTTTCGTAAGACTTTTTTCAATTTGTATCACCAAAAAGAACCAAAAAAACGAGGCGGCGACGCATTTTCTTACCTGGAACGTTTCATTAACCGTCAAGGCATCATTCCTTCATAAAAACTCATAAAAATCCCAGATCGGCTAATGAGAAAATCGAGTTATACACACAGACCCACATTCTTGTTCATATTCCTCATACTGAAGACATAATACTGGCTCGAGTCCGAATCTTGAAAAATCAGAACCCGTTCGACACCTCGAATGAAAACATGTGACAGACTGGAGTTTCAGCCTAAAGAAACCGAAGTGCCAGGAGTTCAAAGCTGCGAAAACTGGATGCGCTTGAAGATTCATAACCAAAAGATATGACTGTCTCGTACCTGAGTGAAACGCACGTAAAATGTACCATTTAAGGAAAAAAATAGAAAAAAATAAATTTAGTAGTAAAAGAGAGTTAACTGTTGTATTTGATATAACGATGTCGAATGTGTATAAAAATAATACTTTCCCAACACTTCCCTGTGCTATGGTGAAAATCTACGATATTACAGCCGATTTGTCTGTGCCATATACATATATTTATGGATTTTAGTGCATAAAGCGCTCCCCACAAAATTGCCCAACACTTGGTTAGTAAAACTGTTTTACATGTCAAATTATTTTCCCTAGTATTTTTCTTTGACACTTAATAAAGTTTGTTTAAGAGCCAGTTCGCATAAACCCCGACCGATTCCCACAGAGGCTGCTCAATCGATAGTCTTCGATTCGCCTCATTTTTTCATAGATGATAGAGGCAACTGTTTTATGAATTTCTACGCAGGTCGTTTTAAAAAATTTTGTTCTGTTCTTGAGATATTGAATTTTTTCTGAGAGCACCCTCATGAAAAAATGACAATTTTGCCATTTTTTCTAAGATCAATATCTCTTCAAGGAAACATCTATTTCACTTGAAATTTTTACTGTATGTTTATCTCTAGGTGAGGTGTTTTTCTTATTAATTTGAACTAGAATGGATGAATCATTGATGGGTCAGTCTAGAGTACTAGATCCATTGAAAGAATTGCATTTTTCTGCATTTTGTTCATATACATTTTAATTGAATGGATAATGCCAGATAGCTAAACTTTTAACCACAGAGAGATCTCATTGAGTAGTAACTATGTTGCAAATTTCAGCTCTTCAGCTAGTCCCCTTAGTCCAGGGTACCATTCTCAAAATTGCAATTTTGANATTAGAAAGTTTTAGGGCAGGGTCCGCAAAAATATTCACAGGGCAGGGCAGGATCAGGTTACAAAAAATTTACAGGGCAGGTTACAGGTTATAAAAATCCTGCACCCTGCAGCCCTCTAAAATAGTACTCGTTAATCACAATGAATTTCTATTGAAAAGTTATATAAGAAATAAAATAAATTTTGCCTCATATTCTTTTTGTTGAATAACTAAAGTGTGCAGAAATATAAGTTTTAAGAAGATAAACTATCACTTTCAATATGCACATTGAAGCGTTCTTCAATGCATTTCAAGGCAATATCCATCATCATATATACACATGAATAAATTCTAAATTGCATTTCTACCCCAAGTTATAAGTTAGATAAATAGAAATGAACAACTAACAAAATAATACAGAATTTTCAAGTGAATATCAACAACCTGTACACAAACGTTGATCAATTATATAGGCAATGTATCTTTATGATTATTTGTACTTCTCTCATCATCCGTAACATACATGATAATAATGATAGGTACTTTAACTTTGTCTTGAATCGTAATTAATTTCGAAAGAATCTTTTTATGTAATAAAAGCAGTTTCTTTATGTTTAATATTTATAATTCTGTAAGGATTGTATTGAAATCTTCTTTTTCTTGAAGATCGCTTCACTTAGATGGGCTGTACATTGTCGGTATGTGCGCCCTTGGGTATACAGTCAAATGTTATACATCCACAACCATTAAAAATTTCCAACGATAAACTGAATCAATTACAGACGACACGTTTCGTCGAAAATAGTTTAATTGTCTGGCTTACTGATCAATCATCTATCGAAGACAAAAATCTTCTCGATCAATTTCGTCATGTGATATCTACGTTAAGAATATTTACCGATTCGAATGCATGTTTTACTTTTATCAATAATATTTATGATGAAAAAATCTTTCTAGTTGTCTCGCCTGAATACGAACGATTTATCGATCGTATTCAACACTTATCACAGATTTTCAAAGTCTATATCTTCGATTCAATATCTCGAATGAAAAACAATGTACATGATCGAATTTTGCAATCGAATATCTTTCAAAATACGACTGATCTATGCAATCAATTACATGAAGATAGAGAACTCTGTGAACTCGATTTTATCTTTATTGCTACAGTTGTTCCATCATCATCCGATGAAGTTTCAGTGAAACGTAAAGCAGCATTTCTACTCGTACAATTTGTAAAAGAGATTACAATTCGTTACAAATTTGAAAACGATGCAAAAAATAGATTCGCCGATTTTTGTCGAGTACACTATGCAGATAATGATGAACAATTACGTGCTATCGATGATTTCGAGAGAACATATCGTCCACAAAAAGCTCTCTATTGGTTAACTCGAACCGATTTCATATCAAGAATACTTAACCGTATACAACGTACAATGGACGTTGATATTTTATACAAAATAAGTTTTCTAATGAAACATAGTCGTGTACAACTCGTCAATTTTTATGATAATATCGATTATCCATCAAAAAAAACATCTTGGACTGTCTATCGAGGAAAGACAATGTTAAATGATGAATTTGATATGTTACTGAGGAATAGTTCCGATGGTTTTCTATCCTGTTCATGTTTTCTTGTAGCAAATATGAACAAAAATGTAGCTATTAATTTTCTACATCGATTAATTGCTATTAATCCTCAACGAATAGCCGTTCTTTTCGAAATTCATATCGATGCAGCGAAACATACAATGAGTCCATTTGCTCTACTAGAAAAAAATGATCATGAAATTCAATCAAACAAAAAAGATGAAATTTGCTTCACATTTAGTACTGTCTTTCGAATTGAATCTATAGAACAAATCAACGATTTTTCTATGGTCATATGGATAGTCAAATTGATCCTTGTGGATGACAGTGATTCACAACTATTTCATCTTATTGCATCATTACGCAGCAATGAAGTTCAATCAAATCCAGTTGCATATGCTGGTAAACTAGCAATTGACATGGGTAATTTTGATCGTGCTGAACAATTTTTTCTTCAAATGCTACTCGATCAATCCGTTCTCAATCAACCACGTCGATATGCACGCATACAAAGTGCTCTGGGCTATATTTTTACACTGAAAAATGAATTTAGTAAAGCAGTTGAACACTATCAACAAGCATTCGAAGCTAGTTTACGTTGTCTCCCACCGGATCATCCCGATCTAATACCAATTTTTAGTGCGATTGGTGATTGTTATTCTAAAACTAGTAATCATATGTTAGCTCTAGAAAACTATGAACGTGCTGCTCAACTTATGCAACACAGTTCTCAATCGACTGATCAACAAACTATCGACAATTTGACTAATCATATTGTTAATACACGAAAACTACTCAAAAACAATGGTGAACATTAATTTGTGCTATTTTCTTTATGATTCATAAAATAACTAATCCGATGGTAGAATCATGTTTCTCTAATTTCATTTTGTCTGATTCTATTTAAATACACATGAAATTTATTTCATCAATGTTGTTATCTTGTTTACTTATGTATGAGATTTTTCAAATAAATCATTTTTTCGTTCGACTAAAACTTCAACAAAATAATTATTCTCTATACATTTACTGTCATTGCAAATTTACATTGAAATAAGTATTAAAAAATCGTATTTTCTCGCAATCTATCAAAACTTCTTGTCATCTAATTTGTTCGCCATTGCGAAGTAAATTAATGCTTTTCACTATGCAATAAGATAGGCATGTTGAACGAGTAGCACACATGAAATGGAATACCTTTTGTTAATCATTTTGCTATTTTTACACTAGAATCATTTGATAGAGAATTAAATTCTTTACAAAGCATCATATTTCAATTCATAATAGTATCACTTTTCTATCTCAATACTTGAATACTAAAATTTAGTGCGTTAAATAAATTTGAAATTAGCTCTTGGTCAGAGTTCGAAACAGGGTTGGTCGAGGAAGATGAAATTTTGAAATCGTCGAACTTTCCCAATATGAAAATTTTATATTAAAATTTTGTTTCGAGAATGTATAAACATGATAATCATAACATTTTAATAATGAACATGTCAGATAGCACTCAGGAGGTACAAACTGATTACTGATTTCTACGATATTTTTCATTTCCAGTGATTTCTAATATTCTGATATCTTATCAATACTATTTGTATTATCAATGAGAACTTGTATGCACTACTATTACAAGTTCAAATCGATAAAATATATTTGTAATAAGAGCTTAACCAAAATTATTGTGCATTTAACTTTTTCAACGCTATAACTTTATAATGAGTTACAAATATTTAATGATAGTCACTTCAACAAATGATTTCTTTATAATTTCTGTCGATTTTTACAGAATGAAAAACATCTCTGGTTTTAGAAAAAAAAACGTTTTTTTTTTTCCTTATACTTATTCATCACTAGTAGATATTGAAAGAGAGTGTAGAACTAAAGAATGTTCCTGACATTACTTAGCGAAATAGAAAATTGATTGTTGATGTGTTCTTCAATTAATATTATTGAATAAGTTTTGAAAAATATTTTACCAAATCGATAAGTTTCGTTTTATAATCAAAAGAGAGAATTATTTAATTTAAAAATTAATTTTATAGAAACTCATCGAGGCTTAGTTTGCACACATAAGTTAGCACTTACGACATGTATTAACTTTTTAGTTAGTTGTGTTACATGCATTTACTTACTGTTGCTAAAGTGAACGAAAACACAAAAAAAAAACTATAGGCACCCTCTTTCGTTATGTTACCTGCAATTTATAATTGAGACTGGCCAACTATGACAGCCAATCGTTCATATATTTACTCTTTACGGGTTTTGTGTGCACTATATATCTGATATAAACAAGACTTTTTTCAAAACATTTTCTCATTGACCTAATTTCGTTTGATTATTCAATTTAATGCAGAATGCTCTTTCGTTTTTAAATATCACTACAATATAATTAAAGCTTGTCTGAAAATGAGATTAGTCATAATATTATACATACGCTGTAGATATTGACTTAACTTAGTACTATAGGTACATGGAGGTGGGCGGGGGGGGGGGGGCGTAATTTAAAGAAG